GGCAAGAAACTTTTATGGAGGGTTATAGTTGGGCTTTTCAGCGAAAAAGGACCAGTAGGTTTCACAGGGAGAGAGGGAGGAAGGGTGGGAGGTTCACTTTAAGAAATTGACTCCTGTGACTGGCAGGGCTGGAAACTCAGATCGGAGTTGACTTTGCAGTCTTGCATCTGAAGACTGGAAATTCAGGTGGAATTTCTCTGTTGCCTTCCAAAGGCAGAATTCCTTTGGGAAACCTCATTATTGCTTTTAAGGCCTTCATTTATTGGCTACGTCTCACCCACACTATGGAGAGTAATCTGCTTTACTCAAAGTCTACTGTGTTATTCATTTACATTTTAAATTTAAGATAACAGTTGATTTACAATCTTATATTCAGCTAGACAGCACAGTGACTCGGTATTTTTACAGTTAAAGCCTACTGCTTTAAATGTCAGTCTCATCTAAAAATACCTGCAGGGCGACATCTGGACTGATGTTTGACCAAACAACTAGGCACTGTAGCCTTGCCCAGCTGACACCTACAATTAACAAAGGTCTACAAAGGTCTCACAAAGGTCGTAAAGGTCTAGGTGAGGAAAGTAAACTTTGTATGAAGGAGAAATTCACACTGATGTTTCAGTTTTGAGTTAGGGCCAGGGCAGAGAGGGCTGGCCGTACCCACCCCAAGGAACCTGCTGGGAAGTTTCCGCAGGAAGAGAGGCTGCGGTGGGATAGGACGCCCCGGGTGCTGCCCTGACCCTCCTCCAACCACGGAAGGCTTCTGCTGGGGGCACGAGGGCACGTGGGGGCACGTCAACACGCCAGTTCAGTCCCTGGGTCCGAAAGATCCCCGGAAGGAGGGAAGGGCAACCCACTCCAGTATTCTTGCCTGAAGAATCCCATGGACAGAGGAGCCTGGCGGGCTGCAAAGAGTCAGACACGACTAAAGCGATTCAGCACACACAAGTATAAAGAAGAATAATAAACTTGTGGACACCCCAACAGCTTCCATCCTCTATCATTTAAGTTTTGTTTATGCTACAAGACTGAGGTTTGGGGCGGTCCTAAGGAAGGAGTTTTGCTTCCTCTTTTCCTGAGAATACTGAAATAGTCAAAGGGAAGTTCTGCTGGCGTCCTCTGCCGCAGCCAACTCACCCCTCTGGATACACATGGCTTAGTTCTGTGTTCTGTTACTAAAGTAAAACTGTAAAGTGCTTTTCAGCTTCTTTGTTATGTATTTAATAACAAAATTAACAGCTAAAAACTTATGGAGCACTCTTCTAAGTCATTTGATCTTCCTGAAAACCTTAAAGGTAGGTATTATAATTATCACCATTTAACACACAATGAGATCAAAGCACAGAGATACACGTAAGTAACTTGTACAAAGTCTTGCAGTTGTTTTTTATAGTAGGCCTGGGATTTATGTTCACACAGTCTGATTCCAGAGTGCATAATCTTAATGACAATGGAAATTTGTATTTGTCTATTGCCTACTGTGATTCTTTTCTGTATTCTTTCTTACTTCCTATAATATTTTTGCATACTTGCCAAGTATGCATAGATACCATTCAGTTCTTTTCGTCTTGCTCCTGTTAAATGTAGGGGGATTCCATTGGCACCTTTTTTTGCCTGACTCTGCTGATCCTGGACCTGTTGCTTTTCTCCACAGAACTTCCTTTTAAGGGGTCCGTTCTGATAAGTTGTATCTTTCCACGTTTCTGTTGCCCTGAGGCGATGTGATTAGCTCCATTGGGCTGTGGTCAATAGTAATTGGTCATTTTGGTCTTAGATCTTTTCTGGGGCATGGGTTCGAGGTGGGCATGTCATTTTGTCAAGTTAAAAGCAAAACAAAACAAAAAAACGTTCAGTCTTACAGAGAGCAGTTTTGCCAAATCTATCAATGTGACAAATGCTTTTGTCCTTTGATATAGAAATTCCATTTGGCTCATTATTCTACAGATAACCTTGGATGTAAATGAAGTGGCCCTTGTACAAAGTTATTCATTGCAGCATTTTCATAATAGTTGTAGACTGGAAACAAATCACATAGTCAAGAACAGGAGACAGTTAGGGTACATTCACATGTTGGGAGATGATGTTGTAAATAAGAGTGCGGAGTTTCTCTGTATGCTGATATGGAAGCCTCTAAAGTTATATCATTAAGGGAAAAAGCAGTCACCTACCTATCTATCTATTACTCTTTGGCAGTGTATATGTATATATACAACGATACTTTTTTTAAAAAAGGAAAGAAATATATAGATATATTTTTAAGGAAATGTTGGAAGAATATAGGAGAAACTAACAAAAATAGTCACTAGTAGGAGGCCATGGGGGTAACAGGATGAATGGGGAAGACAAGGATGGCAGTAACACTTTTCAATATCAATATTTTCAAAATTTACCGTTCCAAAAAAGTAAATTAAAAATGTATAAACAAGCAAAAATGTGTACATACACACATTTTTATTCCTGTAAGCAATCCTATGTGCCTTTCCCCAGCGGCCACCTTCACTCTTCTCCCACTTAGCTGAGGGGAAGGAGCTGAAACCTAAATCTCTTAACCCTGGTGCTGACTGTCTGTGATGGGGGAGGAAGATGTTGACAAGGCTTTGCAGGATTCTCTCCGCCAGCCTTCTTTCCTTCCCTGTTTCTTTCCACATTCCCTGCCTTCCTTCTGTTCTTTTTGTTGATGGAGTTAATTAGCTCAGGGTGAGCACAGTCAGGCTCTCCCACCTACTTTCCAGCCTTGAGAACCCCTGTGATGAATCTGGACCACTTCGCCATCTCTGGATCACGTGGTGATGGGAAAAGCAGATATCCAGCACAGAAAAACTTCCTGCATCTTTTCTTCTTGGCTATCTCCTTACTGTCCTCCCCAAATTAGAAGTTTTCAGACACTGTCACTGACTTGCTTCTCACTGGTCTGCTTCAGGCGGAGGTAGGCAGCAGTGCTTGGAAGGGGAAACAGCACATCATAGATTTCTGGAGTGTTTTGCTCTTTTCCGCCTACCAGCATTTAAGGAAAATGAGACATAAAATTGTAATTCTTATCCATGGTGTAATTCTTTCCTTTTGTTGTTTGCATGTGTGCTAAGTCACTTCATTTGTGTCCGACTCTTTATGACCCCACGGACTGTAGCCCACCAGACTCCTCTGTCCATGGGATTTTTCACGCAGGAATACTGGAGTGGGTTGCCATTCCCTTCTCCAGAGTATCTTCCCTACCCAGGGATTGAACTCGTATCTCTTATGTCTCCTACATTCGCAGGCAAGTTCTTTACCATTAGCACCACCTATTTATTTTGTATTTATTTCAAAAAGTTCGTGATCTAACTTGACACACCGTTTTCCCTAGAGGTTTTTGAAACTTCTTAGGAAAATCTGCCATCTTACTTCACATGCCGTCATCTTCAGCAACTAGTGTATAAGATTAAGTATAAGTTAAGTCGGTTTAAAAACCTATCTTAATGAGTAAGTGAAGATTATTTTAACTGACACTTTAAATAGATTGAATAGTTTAACTTATTTTTAACGCAGGGGAAGCTTCTTTCTGCAATTTTGCATAGTAAAATTTTTTCATGATACAATAACAAAGCAGCAAATCCTAAGCAAGGAAGAGAGTCTGAATTCATTTAGGTTTATTATTTGGGATGTACGTATGTAGCGTTGGAGGGTTGTCATGCCTTGGACTACCGCTGGGTGGCTGGCATGGTGTGCTGTGGACCCAAACCTGACGTACAGACAGAATAGATGACAGGTGGTAGCCAGCAATTCCTTCACTGTTCAGAGACGGTGGCAGTCCTTTCACTCCTTAAGTACATTAGAAAGAAAATTCTCCTATTTTTTTCTTCCCATGACAGTTTTTCACCAGTTTTGCTGCATGGCTTCTTCTAAACCTGAGTTATTTCGGCACATGTAATACACTACATGTTACTTAGGTCATTATGAGTAAAATTCTTGTTTCTTCTTGAACTCTGGCTTTTGCCCATGAACAATCAATAAAAATGCTTGGAATATAGCCTATGGGCCCGTATTTTGAAAACATGGAATTTATATTTATTCTAAATTTTCTGTCTTTTGATAAAAGAATCCCCCTTGAAACTGCCTATTTTGGAAATTATTAGCAACACTGTGAGCATTATCTGAATATTTATTTAAATTAGATTCACATGGAGTCCCTTTCACAGCTGATCTAATTCTTCCATCTGAATTTAGAATTTTTTAAGTAAAAGAACAAGTATAGACTGTAATGATTATTTGTTAATTTCACTGATGAAAACCACAAGGCTGTTTGGAAATTTCATGTCCACACCAGGATGCTCATTGCTCCGTAGGAATAAATATGTTTCTCAGGATTAGCTGGAAAAAGATATTCCTTACTTTTCAGAGTCCTTACTATAGTCTCTCTACCAGCCCCATTATAAGGTGGCCTGACTGTAGACAAACAAAAAGACTAAACCAGTGAATCCTGGGCAATGTGTCATTTGACATTTCAGATCTTCTCTTTATTCTGAGTCAGTGGAGCTGCCTGCTAGCCATCTTTAGGATATTTGTATTGTTTTGTATTTGTGTTTGATACAAAAATAAATTTTGGATTTAATATGGGAATATTCTGTTACTTTGGGTTTTGCACTTTCTAGTCCACACAATAATTTGTTAGAATAAAGAAGTTGGATTTATACTGCATATGATCAGTACCTTTTTACTAAATACCAAAGTAATTTATTTTAATATGGAGGTTTATGGAGTGAATATAGTACCATTTAAAATTTCCAAATGCCTCCTATTGTATTAAGCTGGACCCTCTTTGACTTAGCCTTGACTACCTGTAGTAGTCCTTGTGAAGCTCAAAAAAGACAAGTGATTACATTTCCCAATGATCTGTTTGGCACTTCTTTCTTCAAGAAATTTATATTAGAATCCTTTTGAGGTGTTTCAGGTTGAATGAAATTTTCCACTTTTAATGTTTTGATTGAGTTTACAGTATACTTCTGCTTTGTTATGTCTCCTTTTAGAACGAAATGAAATGCTGAGAAATAAATAAAGCTTCCCTCTTCTGACTCGGATCTTTATAATGGGTATCGGAAAGTCTAAAACGGATCCCTGCCGTCTTTCTGTGCCTTGGGGTGAAAGCCAGAGTGTGGATCCTAGCCACAGCCGGCACGCGTTGGATTCCAAGCGGCCTGAAGACACCTGCGTGCGTGGTGATGCTGTGTGCAGCCGTACTGCAGAGGTGCCAGCGGGGGAGCGGGACGGAGTGGAGGAGGGGCTGGACGAGGACACAGACGAAGAGGTGTTCCTCAAATTTGTGATACTGCACGCTGAAGAAGACACAGGCGAGGCCCTCCGAGTCCAGAGTCTGCTGGAAGACGACTTCGGCATCAAACCTGGAATCATCTTTGCCGAGATGCCGTGTGGCAGACAGCATTTACAGAACTTGGATGATGCTGTCAACGGGTCTGCCTGGACTATCTTACTGTTGACAGAAAACTTCTTAAGGGACACCTGGTGTAAGTTCCAGTTCTATTCGTCCCTCATGAACTCCGTTAACAGGCAGCACAAGTACAACTCCGTCATCCCCATGCGGCCCCTGAACAAGCCCCTGCCCCGAGAGAGAACTCCCTTTGCTCTGCGAACCATCAACGCCCTGGAGGAGGAGAGTCGTGGCTTTCCTACCCAGGTGGAAAGGATTTTTCAGGAGTCTGTGTACAGGATACAGCAAGCTATATGGAAAGAGACCAGAAATACGGTACAAAGGCAGTCTGTTGCCTGAGACAGCACACACAACACAAGACAGACTCGTGTTTTGTAAAACAAAACAAAACTCTTCACTTGCGAAAACAAGTTCCTAGGAAAGGTTTCAATGAAAGAGAACCTTCCTGTTACAGAAACCTGTGGAGCCCAAGAAAGACAAATGTCTGCAGGACAGTCCATAGAATTGTGGTATTTGATGTTTCCATAAACTGGAAATCATCCGAGTTTCAAGAACTCTGTTTCCTCTCAGTTTTCCTGGTTCATGATTACTACAAAGGGTATTTTAAATTCATCTTCCTAATGTTGAACTTGATCAAAAACTTATAGACATTTTAAAAATGCAATTAATTACCCTTTGATTTTGTTCTCAAAGGACACACAGAAAAAAACATCCTCGAGAGATCTGACCAGCCTGCCTTTCGAAGTACCTGTCGCGAATGTTGTAACGAAGCACTCCCGGTGTTGTCACCCAGACACGGGGACAGCCAGGCTAGCACATTTAGAATGTTGAGTGCTGATAAATGTGAAACCCAAAATAGATGCGGCAGTGGTGGGGCTCCTTAAATAATCCAGTCAAATGTCCTTCCCTTTCTGCTGCAGTTTACGTGCAGGCAGAACTGCAGGCTGTTCCCACCACATTTGTTGGTACTGTGGTTAGGGACTCTGTGCCTGGTGTGGACACGACCCCTGGAGCCAGAAGCTCTCTATGTTGGTCGTCAGCTATGACCAGGGCTTTATCTGAAGAGCTTCTGAAAGGTGGATGTGTCCTTGACCAGATGTTCTCTTTTAAAATCAATAACCTCTCCTCTGCAAGCTGTTACAAACTCCTGTCTCACACAGCGCTTTATCAAGGAAATACTTCTCAGTAGCCTGAGTGTGTGGGTGTAATGTGAGTGTGTGTTGTGGATTACTTTCAGACTTGAAGTGGGAAATGCATTTTATGGTTTCTTGTCCCACACTGATAGCGAATCGGAGGCTCCAAGCAGACCAGTTCCTTTCTTTCCCAGCCCTTCTGCCCCAGCTGAGATTGACGGTGAACTGCCAAGTGCAGACCATGAATGGGAGAGTGTATGGGATAGGAGAGAGGAATGGGAGAGACCACGAATGAGTCCGTCATGCTGAAATGAGAAAAGCACCCGATAGGGTATCAGAGCACCTGGTTCTTGTCCAGTCTTTTTCACTGAGGAGGAATGTGACCATGAGCAAGCTACTGCCCTCCTTCATCTGTGAAAAGAAAAGGTTGGAGTGATAAATCTGCAAAGGGCATTGTCCTCTTCCAGAATGTGAACAACTAGGAACCAGGAAAGGGAACAAGCAAACAAATGATAGAATTTCATTATATGATTTATAATTTAATAGTTGCAGGAGGCTTCATGTATATGCTCACAATGAAAGGATGTTGTGTATGTTTGCAGCATAATTGACTTCTACTGCTACCCATTATGCTTACAGTCACAAAAATATCACAATGCATGCTTGCTTAGATTTTTTTTAATTAAAAAAATTTTTTTCTAGAGACCTTTGCTGAAGAAACATTCTGCCCTATTTTTCTTCTCTTTATCTCCACTTCTCCTCCATATCCCCTTGCTAACACTGGGGTTTGCTCACAGCTTTCTGCAGTCCGCCTCTTCACAGTCATGAACCAACATGTTTCATAATCTTGCAAGTAAGTCAGACCTCCCCCGCTACTAGTACTTATTAAAGATAAGATTCATCTCATTGCATGGTGACTTAAAAGTTCCCTTCTGTCATAGTAGCTGACTACTCACTTTTCTTTTTCAGTTCTAATGATAAGCATTTTTTTTTTTTTGCCATACTGCTTCCTGTATCTCCAGTTTCATATACAAATAAAATATTAACTACTCACCCTTGCCTGCCTGCCTGCCAAAGTTGGAGCAATTGATGCTGGATGGTGTTTTTTAAATAAATGTTTTTATTCTTTACCTTGACTAAACTTGATTATTTTCCTGTGTCAGTGAAGATTGTAGAAAAGTGTTCTGAAAAAAGGCATCAATCTGTACTTCTCTACAGATCACCAGGCACAACGGCATCACTTGATTTGGAGTTGAATACACTGAAAAATGTTAAGTACTGAGTAACTGGTTATGTTGAAATTAACAGTTGTAATAAGGGGTTATCAAAATAACTGAGGATAAAAAGAGGTAAAGCTGTGGCCTTTGTCCTGTGAGTGTGTATATGCATGTACACGTGCATAGATCCAGACTTACACACAGGGGAATTGAGTAAAATTTTGCCACGTGCTGGAGAATATCCATTCTGAGTGTCTGTGGGCCTCACTGCTCAGCCTGGAGCTTCACAGAACCTGAGCTGTGTCTTCTGTGTCAGGATTCTCAGCTGTATGAGAGAGGAAAAGCCAATGCCATGTGATCTGCACTATAAGGTAAATTTACTAACTTAGCAAGGGGACCCCTAAGGTATGTGCTTCAAAGATGTCATTAAAAACCCAGTTCTTAGATACAGTGGAGTATTATGCCACCTTAAAAAGAAGTAAAATTCTGATACATGCTATAACATGGAACCTTGAAAACACGGTGCTACAGGAAGAAAGACAAAAGGACAAGTTTGGTTCCACTTATATGAGGTGCCTAGAGTAGTAAATTCATAGAGAAAAATAGAGGTGACTAGGGGCTGGGGAGAGGGAAAAAACAGGAATCAGGTTTTGTGGGTATAAAGTTTTATGTTTGGGATGATGAAGTTCTGGAAATAGATAGTGGTGATGGTTGCCCAACATTGCGAGTGTATTTAATGCCACTGAATTGTATGCTTAAAGTGGTAAATTACATATGCGTCGTACTGCAATAATTTTTTAAAAACCAGGGTCTTTCCACCTTTCTGCTCTGCCATCCTCAGCGTCCCAGCTGAGTTTTCCTTAAGAGTCGTACCATTGCCGCTTATCAGGCAGACATTGGAGCATCCAGCTGAATCAGAGGGTGGGAGTGGTTTCACCCAAGTGAGGAAAAATATTTCTTCATTGCACTGTTGAAAATAGTTTATACATGGTGATAACAAAAAGTCGTCAAGACTTCTAATTGGTTTTATTATTATTTTAAAACTTTCTCCACCTGCATCCAGGTGGACCCTGCCCATCACCTCCTCCCTCCAACACACTGCTGTGGATCGAGACTGCCTGCCTGGGGTTTTGTTTGTTTACTGTGTATCTTTTTAATTAGTTAATTTCTTTATTTTCGGCTGTGCTGGGTCTTCATTGTCCTACACGGGCTTTCTCTAGTTGCAGGGAGCAGGGGCCACTGCCTGGTCGCTGCGGGCTCAGTGCTGCGGCGTCTCTCACAGCACGGGCACCACACACAGGCCTCGGTGACTGCTGCATGTGGGCGCCAGAGGACAGGCGCGGTGGCTGCACGTGGGCTTAGCTGCCCGGCAGCATGTGGCACCTTCCTGGACTAGCGACTGAACCGGTGTACCCTGCGCTGCAAAGTGAACCATCAATGTTTACCGTGTATCTTCATTCTCAGTTCTGTGGTATTTGAGTATTTACAGATACCATTTTACATTTACAGATACCTTTTACAATTTACATTTACAGATACCTTTTACATTTACAGATACCTTTTACAATTTTTAAAAATTTTATATTGAAGTATAGTTGATTTACAACGTTGTGTTAGTTTCAGGTATATCGCAAAGTGATTCAGTTACCCATATACATAAATTCATTCTTTTTCAGATTCTTTTCCCATATAGGTTATTAGAAAATACTGAGTATACTTCCCTGTGCTACATATAATAGGTCCTTGTGGATTATCTGACTTATGCATAATGCGTATATATTAATCCCCACCTCCTAGTTCTCGCCCCCATTCCCCTTTCCTGTTTGAAAACAGACCACATTTGTTTTCTATGGCTAGTGAGTCTTTGTTTTGGAAATGAGTTAACTTGTATTTATTTTTCCAGGCCAGAGTGCTGGAGTGGGTAACCGTTGCCTTCTCTGGGGGAATCTTCCCAACCCAGGGATCAAACCCAGGTCTCCTGCATTGCAGATAGATTCTTGACCAGCTGAGCCACTGGGGAAGCCCTTAGATTCTACAGATAAGCAATATTATATGATATTTATCTTTGTCTGGCTTACTTCATTTAGTATGATAATATCTAGACCCGTTCATGTTGCTACAAATGGTATTTTGTCATTCTTTTTAATGGCTAATATTCCATTGTATAAATGTACCACAACTTCTTTATCTGTTCATCTGTCAATGGACAGCTAGGTTGCTTCCATGTCTTGGCTATTGTACATAGTGCTGCAGTGAACTTGGGTTGAATCAGACCTATGTCCTCTACAAATTGTGATCTTCCTGGGTCTTGGTGTTCGCATCCAAAAATGAAGACAGTAATGCCTCCCTGGTAGGGTTATTTTGGGGGTTAAATGCAATAATACATGTGAGGTACTCAAATAGTGAGCAATATATGACTTACCATACCACTTCTGTCCTACTAGAACTATGGTGGCCTATACACATTTACTCTGCAACATGGGATGGGGCAGAGGGCAAATATAATTACCCACAACCTTGTTCTTGGAACCCTTGCAACTTGAAAGAAATAGATTTCAAACAAAGAGGAAGCAAGATGCCGAGCCTTATTTCCATGTGCAGTTCTGTTCCCTTCCTGGCTCTGAGCTTTCAGAAGCCTGCCCTGATCAGCAAATGTGTAGATTACAGGTGTGGGTGTGGAGGAGGCTGGGGGCAGGGCCCATGACTAACAAGTTAAGGAGGCTGGACCATAGATTGGGAAAGTGGGAAAGTGGAGTCTTGATGTGCCAGCTCTGAAGCCAGTTCAGGGGAATGGCCCTGGAGGGGAGGCCTTCAGCTGTGTCTTGTTGCTCCTGAGGCTCAGAAGAGGTAGGTAAATATTGCATATATTTGCATTGGAGCAGAATAACCCCTTTAACTTAGCCCTTTTTCAGGATTGGTGGGATCATTTTGCCTAGTTTGGGAATACAGGCTGCTTGAAGCTGCTTAAACTGTTTCCCCTGAGAGGAGTGCTCATCTGCTATTCAGCTTCCCGTCCTGACTGGCTTTTTGCCCTGAGTTCAGGGTTGCTTGCTGGACTTAATCCCTTCCAGTGCAGGTCAGGGCTGTTTTCCACTTCAGTCCCATGTCCTTTGCTTCTGCAGATCCCAAATTTAAAGCCTTAGTGGAGCCTTGACGTGGACCCAAACCTCCAGCCAGGACCTCCTGGTGTAAGGATGGAGGGAGCTAGTTACAGAGACAACTTCCTTGGGTCCTCTCAACCCGTGCACTCATTTCTAAACCGCAGGCCTGTGTGACTAGTGAGGCGAGCTTTAGCGTGTCTGCCCTGGGTGTCAGCCCTGAGTCTGGGCCCTTCCGCCTCATCAGTCTTAGGTTACCTGGTCTCCTGTCACCCGATGGGCTGTCACTGGACACGACTGTGCCCTCTGTACTCGTGGGGAGGTCTGAAGGGGAGGAGGAAAGTTCGGGGAGCTCCCAGGCTGTAGAAATGACCATTGACATCTTTAAAGCAATGACCAAAGGAATGAATACAAGGAGAATCAGTGTTTTTGTCTATGGAACTGATGTTTCTCAGCAGATTCCAAGGAAAAAGAAATGTGTGAGATTTAGAATGTTTAGTGGCTGGATGAAGACAATATTCTTATGTAAATTTGTATTCCAAGTCATACTTGGCAACCCCCATTGTCAATTAACACATTAAGTATGAGTTGGAGTAAACAATACTTGGAAGTGCCATTAATTAATAACTTAAGAGTCTAAAAATGACTCGATGAAAAGCTAAGTTAACATGTGGAGAAAAATAAAAGACACCTGTTCCCCCTCCTCTTTGCCAGTGTCCCAGCTTCCACATGGTTTACTCCATCTTCTGCCCTGGTTCACACCTCCCTCCCTTTCTGGCAGGGAGTGAGAATAGTTCTGGGGGAAAAGATTTCCTTTATTTGGTAGATCATGCCTCCCATCTCTCCAAATAGAGTCAGTTCTGAGTCATTTTACTCTGAGGTGAATAAATAGGAATGCTTTTTTTTTTTTTGAACAAATAACAAGAACCTGCCTTTAAGCAGTTTCATAATCTAATTGAAAATACTCCTTCCAGCTTTCCAGTCACCTCCTCAAAAAAACAGGCTTCAACAAGGAAATCTACAAACGAGCTTTTCCCAGGGGATTTCCGCGGTTACACTGGCTGAGACACATTACCAACTTTACAGTTGTTCTAAGTATATTTATAAATAAAAACACTGTCACACGAATGTAGAGTTATCTTGGGGTGATGGTTCTACAATTTTGCAACTATACTAAAAAGAGTTGGGTTTGTACACCTTAAATGGGTAAATGTTATGATATATAAAATATAGCTCAATAAAGAATGAACAAGCCAAACCCCATAAGCTGCAATAACAAAATTCTATGATGATTTAGAATACTGTTTGGCAGTTGATAGTGTTGTTGTAAGTGTACATATCTTGCGAACCAAGCAATCCCTCTTCTATATTTGTACACTAGAGAAGCTCCCACAGGTACCCAAAGATGCACATGTGAGAAAGATGTCTGTTGCAATATCCTTTGAATAGTAAAAAATATATACATATTGGAAATAATCTAAATGTCCCTCAGTAGAACACAGAAATATGTGGTGGCAGGTTCATACAATTGAATACTATATTTTATATTTAAAAAAAGAGAGCTACAAATATCAACATAGGTACCTCCCAGAAACCTAATGTTGAGGAGGTACAGTAAACTGTAGAATATGGACAGTCTAATACCATTTATATAGTTATGAAGTATGAGATGACACTAAATGTAATGGGGATACACATGGATGATGGTTATTTTATTTTCTATGGTCTTGTGTTTGAATTAGTTGATAATCACTTTTTAAGTTAGCATATACTTATAGTCATGTTAAATGATAGAGGATTTCCTTCCACCTGCAA